CATCTTATATCAGTTTCCCCTCTGCTGTGCCCAGGGTAGTGATTTGTCATCTGAGGTGGTTTGGTCCAATTAAAGGGCCCCTTGTCTGCCCTCCGGCCTGTGGGTTGACCAGGAAAGTGAGCTGCTCTCTATGCCGCCTGCTGAGCCTCATCACAAGGCAGGAGTCATTTCTTCTCCACTAAAGCAAGTCAGAAGAAAGCAGGAAAAAAGGTTTTCCCTCCAGAAGTAATCTCCGCAACTAGGCATTTCCCTCAGCCTCTGGAATTGCAGCTATTGAGAGACAGAGAGAGAGAGAGAGAGAGAGAGAGAGAGAGAGAGAGAGAGAGAGAGAGAGAGAGAGAGAGAGAGAGAGACAGAGAGACAGAGAGAGAGAGAGACAGAGAGAGAGAGAGACAGAGAGAGACAGAGAGAGACAGAGAGACAGAGAGAGAGACAGAGAGAGAGAGAGACAGAGAGAGAGTCAGAGAGACAGAGACAGACATGGATTGGTTGCCTCCATTGTGAACTGCTTTGACAAGGATTTCTTGGAACAACTTCCTTTCAAAACCAGCATCTCTACTGGACGAAGTAGATATAAAGATATACTTCAAATAGCAAACATCTGTTTTTGAAAAATAACTTTAAAGTACCTCCACCACATTCTCAGAGATAGTATAGAATTCCAATTTTAAAAAGCTGTCTTCCTCCATTCTCTCCACACCCTACCTTCATTGGGATCAGCCCCTGGAGAAAGGGAGCTTGAGACAAAAGGAGGCATGTACTGGGCACAGTCAACATGGTTTAATATTAATACTTTTCCAGTGTCATGCCAGCAGGCTAATATTTAATTCTAGATTAAACTCAACTGCTAGCACCATTTTGGAATATAGTTTTAGTGGTTAATATATGAGGAAATTAGGAATCTTTATTTCTTGTTTCTTTTTATTAAAAAGAGAGAGAGAGAGATCATTTTAGAAGTACCCTGGCAATGTAACTGTGTCCCATGGTGTCTCTCTCTCTCTCTCTCTCTCTCTCTCTCTCTCAAGCACAATTATATGCTTTCTACAAATTAAGGTATTTTAGTGGAGAAACAAACAGGAGTTAATTAGAAAAATCTTCACCTTAAGACTCCCCTTCTTGAAATTTCATATGCCTTTCATTAAGCCATTCATTCCTTTCTCTTTACACGAGTAGCCCCATGCATGAATCTATGTGTGAGTAGCTTGCTGCCCCTTGCCTCAGCTGGCCACCCACCCACCACCGCCTGTAGCTCTCCGCCACTGGTAGCCTTCTGCCCGTGGATTGGTCCTGAAGTTACAGCATCCTGGCTAATTTGCATATTCCTCTATTATTATATTAGATTCCGTTACTTAATGAATTTATTGAGCATCTATGTGTAAGGCAGTGTTTTTAGTGATTGGACAAAAATCAGGAACAAAAGACAGGATCTCTTTCTTCCTGAACTTTAAAGGCTAGTCTGTAAAATAGACATTCAATAAACTAATTTAAAAATAGCTATAATAGAACTGTAAAACATAAAGAATGAACCCTAGTGTAAACTCTGGACTTTAGTTAATAACTAGAGGCCTGGTGCACAAAATTCATGCGGGGGTGGGGTGAGGTGGTGCCCCTCAGCCCAGCCTGCACCCTCTCCAATCTGGGACCCCTCTGGGATCCCATCAGGCCTAGACGGGCAGTCAGACATCCCTCTCACAATCCAGAACTGCTGGCTCCCAACCATTCACCTGCCTGCCTGCCTGATTGCCCCTAACCACTTCTGCCTGCTAGCCTGATCACCCCCTAACCACTCCCCTGCCAGCCTGATTGACGCCTAAGTGCTCTCCTCTGCAGGCCTGGTCCCCCCCAAATGCCCTCCCCTACAGGCTTGGTCACCCCTAATTGTCCTCCCTTGCCAGCCTGGTCACTCCTAACTGCCCTCCCCTGCTGCCCTAATTGCCCACAACAGCCCTCCCCTGCAGGCCATCTTGTGATGGCCATCTGTGTCCACATGTGGGTAGCCATCTCTGACCACATGGGGTGGCCATCTTGTGTGTTGGAGTGATGGCCAGTCTGCATATTTCTCTTTTATTAGATAGGATAATGTATTAAATATGGTACATCAATTATAACAAATGCCCTCCAGGAATGCAAGATGTTAATAATAAAGAAAACTACCCTACCCGGATTAGCATGTGCCCTCATGAGGCTCAGTGGATAGTGTCACCTGCGGACTGAAGGGTCCCAGGTTCGATTCCTGTCAAGGGCACATGCCAGGTTTGTGTGCTTGATCCCCAGTAGGGGATGTGCAGGAGGCAACTGATCAATGATTCTCTCTCATCATTGATGTTTCATCTCTCCCTCCCTCTCCTTTCCTCTCTGAACTCAATAAGAATATGTTTTTTAAAAATAATAAAAAAGGAAACTGTTATGTTGGCATATGGGAACTCTGTGCCTTCTATGTAAATTTCTCTAACTACTCTAAAAAATAAAGTCTTAATAAGAAATAAAATATTGTAAATAGCTATAAAAGATAAGCACTTTATAGGAAATAAACAGGATGCTATTAGGAAGAATAGTGGGGTGACATAATTTGGATCAGGAATGAGGAAGGGCCTGTCTGGAGAAGAGTTATTTAAGACCAGAACTAGAGAACAAGTAGGGCCTGGCCAGGCAGAGAAGGAAACCTTTCCAGCAGCGCACAGTGACCATTTGAACTACCTTTGTAGACCTCATTCATGTTTCTCCGTGGAGGATGCACTGTGGGAGTGGGTGGGGTGGGGAGGCAAGAGTACAAAGGCAGCACATTAGGAGGCAATTAGAAGGGAGCGACAGTAGGATGTTTCCTTGGCTCAGCTTATGCCAGAAACGTTCAGGTTCAGATGCTGGATGTTAGGAAGAAAGGAGACCATGAGTGGCAGCAAGATGGGGTTCCTAAGGTCTTTCCAGTGGCTCAATGGAATTCATAGTGTGAGAAACGATTGTGTGTGTGTGTGTGTGTGTGTGTGTGTGTGTGAGAGAGAGAGAGAGAGGGGGGGGGGAGGGGGGGAGGAGAGAAAGAGAGAGAAGAAGACCAAGAGAGAGACAGATTGAGAGTACAACCAGATGAGAATTACAAGGGGGGGAAAGCTTTCAAGTATTAACTACCCAGGCGTAACAGCCTATTTTCGTAGAAGGCTGTATAAGATTTAATTTGCAATAGTTATCTTTATTTCTGCTACTGGATTGTTGGCAGTTATTTTGATTTTGTTTCTTCAAAGACTACTTCTTTTCATATTGTTGATAAATCAACAGTTAAGAAAGGTCCATTAAGCTGGGGCACTGTTTTAGTCCATCAATAGTGAACTGTTCTTAGGGATGGTGAGTTCCCAAGGAAAACAACTCCAGGGTCCATGTCAGCCTATAATAGATTTCTATAGACTCTGGAGCTGTTTTTGGTAGCATGGAAGCTTAAATAGTCAAACGTTTTATTTCCATGTAAAATTAAGTAGCTCTGTAATTACATAATCTGCTTCATCATTTGTCAGTTTTACCTGCCTACTGAAATGTGCGCTTGAGAGTTGCAAGACATTAACTATTTTTTATGCATTTCTTTTACAGAACATTTGAATGTGCTGTTTATACATTATATAAAAGCACGTTTGATATCTGAAAAAAATCTTTAGCAAATTAGCATGCATTTCATAGCACTTAACTAATACGGATACAAAACGGTCACTATGTCTATAGTATAAATCTTATAGTTTTTGTTTTCAGTATTCCTGGAAACACCAAGTCAAGAATCCCCCATTTGACCAGACCTGTTGTTTATTTTAGGAAGTAGAAGTGCACCATCAATGTAATTTTAGGTCGTTCAATTGTGACTGGGATGAAGAGGCAACATAAAGTTTTCCACTGTGATGTCTCCATTAAGAAGCTCCTCTTTGTGTAAAAGAGTCCGTGACAAAGTTCCTTCTATTTAAAGTAGTGAGTTTGATCTTGGCTTTGATCTGAAGCTTTTGATCTTGAAAGAAGGATGGAGTAGCAATAAAGAGAGGGCAAGGCAGATTTTCTTTAAAGAACTGCGATAAAGTCCCAGTGCTGGTCAGGCTCAGCAAAGGCGCGCCCCGGCCCGGTTCAGCCCATTTCTGATTGGGATTTGAAAAGCCTTTCTGGGGTCGGCGGCGGGAAAAGCTTGGGACATCACACATTTTTATAAACGAAATGAAAACCTTTCCTCAAACGATGAAGGCAGACAGTCCACCTCTCAAGCTCTCCCGAAAAGCTCGGGTTCATGGGCAGCGCGCGTGGTGCGGGGAGTGTGCGCGGGCGAGCAGGGCTCCTCTCCTGCCCGGGGAGGTCACCTGCCGCCGCCCCGGGCCTGAGAGCCAGAGGAAAACGCCTCCTTAATGGCGTGTAAATGCGTTTCTGGAGAAAACTCCCTCAGGAAAGTTCCTTCCCGGCCGAGGCCGTGTGGGCACCGGGTCTCTGGCCAGAGGAGCGCAGACTGGCCGCGGGGTGCGGGCGCTCTGTGCGCGGGCGACGCTTCCGCTCCGGGGCGGCCCAGACGTCCCCGCGGTGCCAGCGCCCATGGGTGGCAGCGCCCGCGGGTGGCAGCGCCCAGTGCGTAGCAGAGCCGCGGCGGCGGGCCGGAGAGGTGAGGCGTGCGCACCCGAGCGCTCTGCCCGGGGGAGGCGCGGCGCGGGCCTGGCCGGACCGGGACGGACGGCGCTCGCGGAGAACAATAACATCGCGGGCGGCCGCGGGCGGGGGCACCTGCGGGAGCGGGCGCGGCGCCTATACCTTTAAGGCAGGCCCCGCCCCACCAGCGCCGCCCGCCTCCCGCCGCCCGGCCCCGCGCCGCCGCGGCCGCCCCGCGCCGGAGGTGTGCGGCCCGCGCCGCGCTCTCCGCGGGCGGCCGGGCGCCGACGCCCCGCTCACCGCTCCCCCGCGGCGGGCGAGGTCCGGTCAGCGCCGCGGCGGAGGGCACGCGGGCGGGAGGAGGCGGGCGGCTCCGGGTAAACTTGACTGTCCCTTCCCCGCAGCCTCAGCGCCAGGCCGGGGCGGAGAGCGGGCTCGCGCGGCAGGTGGGCGCCGAGGTGAGTGCGGGCGGCGCGGTCCCCGCAGCCTCCCTCCGGGGCCGGCGGTCCCGCCGCATCCCCTCCGCGGAGCCCCGGGGGGAAGCCGGCCCCGTGTCGGGGGCGCCGGCGCGGGGGTGGCCCCCGGGCCCGAGCCGGGAGGGAGGAGGCGGCCGCGAAGGTCAGGGCCGCGCCGTCCCCGCCCCGAGGCCGCCGCGCGGGGCCGTGAGCCGAGCCGCCGGCGCCGGAGCCTTTCCCCCGCGCGGGGCGGCGCCGGGCCGGGGCCGGGTTCCAACGCTCCGCGGTGTTTGAACTTCAGGTCGCGAAATGGACTCGAGTGAACCGGAGACCCCGAAAACGGAAACGAAGAGGGAGCGGAGAAGTGTTTGAAAAGGTAGGGGTCCCCCGAAGAGCGCGCAGAGTGGGGTTAGTGGCCCTGAGTGAGGACTTGCACACAGTTTAAATTTAATTCACGGACAGCTCGGTGAAAATATTGGCTGGGGATCCTAATGGTCAGCATCCTGTGTTCTCCAGAGGTAAGAGTGACCGGGATGGAGTTTTGTTTCAGCATCAAGCAGAGCAATGGGACATGGGTCCCAGTACCACAGGGACCGGTGGTATTTTTGGTGGAATCTTCCCAGTAAATCACCCCGGTGTCGGGTTTCTCTGTCTGGTTGTGACAGATACACTGGCATGCTCCCTCGCTCCCTCCGTTTAGGTGTTGGAGTCATCTCAGGTATGGAAGGAGAAGCTGAAAAAAAAAGTGCATTACTTTTGTAAAGCAAACAAGACATTTGTTTTTCTTACTTTAGAATTTCAGTGTTACTTTGCAGAAGTTTGACTCCCCTTTACCTCCTAAAGTTGTATTAAGTAAAAGCGTGACTTGTTATTGTAATAAATATTGTGAAATAAGGTAAGTAGTCTGTTGTTTTCCAAGTGTCTTTTATTGAAAACCCTTCAAAAATGAATAATGTTACAGCAGACAGGACTTCGGTTGCTTTTTGAAATTATTCGATGCACTGTTTTTTGGTTCTTGATAACACCAGGGGATTAAAATAGCGGTGTGTTGTTTTTCTGCTGCTAGAATGTATGATGAATCACTCCTGATTCTGAAGCCAAATTCTTGCTGATAGCGTTGCTGCCAACTTCTGTGATGTGTTGCCTTAGTATGGGCATCGCAGCGTCCGTCCGAGAATGTGCACAACGCACATCAGGGTGAAGGTGATCCCCAAGGCCCAGAGTGCGTTTGAGGATAGCGAGGGCGCTCCGCGGAGAACTGGAGGAGGAGGAGAGTCGTCTGCAGCTGGACGTTCAGCACGGGGAAAGGGTGCCCAGCGCGTCCCTTTCTGAATAAAAAAGGGCCGTGGAGAGTAGCAGAGGTCGTCCTTTTGAACAGACTTGAGTTTTCTGATCATATCTCAGCATGTTGTGGTAGGTGGTGTTTGTTTAACTTCCACGGTCTAGATGTTTGTAAAAATGTTCGTGAGTTGATGGAGGAGATCATAAAATGCCCAAAGGAGGAAAAAGAATTACGGCTTACATCGTACAGCCAAACAATATTTCCTAGTTATCATTTTTTAATCCCAAAACAAGATTGCCCAAACACTTAATGTATCATGCATCAAGAAGGGGAAGCCATTATCTGTCACTACCAAAACCTGACCTCGAGGTAACCATGTCTGTGACATCCGTGATCTGAGAATGAGCCAGGGCCGTGGTGGGGAGACCGGAATCTCCTTCCCAGGAAAGGAGGTCTTCCCTGAGCATTCTCCGTGAGAGAGGGGACTGTGCCGGAGCCTACGGGGAGAATGCACACGTCCCTCCTCTTAGGAAACGCGGGCAGCACTCTCACGATATGAAAATGAAGTAGGTTGGGGGCAACATGCCGAACTGCCTTTCAAGGACTAAAGCTTCAACTAGCGTTGGAGGTAGAAGTGGCAAAAGGGGGAACTTTCAAAGTTGTGTCAGAAAGTAAGTTTTTAGGTGTCTCCAGGCTTCCCTCCTGACTCTGGACAGCAGCTGAGCCCCTTGCCCGCTGTCTGCCTCTGCCATGCCCAGGAGCTGGCTTGCAGCTTGGGGAGGCCAAGCATGCAGTGTTTTCAAGGGCAAGGTGAAAGGCAGTGCCGCCAGCACAGCCCAGGGCACCAGGCCAAGCTCCAGGAGGCCCAAAGGTGTCCTGCCGAGGTGTCCCCCGATCGCCCCAGCGTCCATTCCAAAATGCGGATGGAATTCTGTGTGCCATGAGTGTTCAAACCGCGGGCATGTGGTAATCTTTCGCTAGGGTTTGAACCTGTTGTTAGTGGGAATCTAGGTAAAATTACTGTTTCGTGTAGTAAATTTTTTAAAAAATGTCTGCCATGCCACAAGTGAAGTACGTTAGTTTCTGGGTGTTTTTTTTTCGTGCATCCACTGCATTTTGCTACTACATGAAAACTATGACCTTTTCTGTGGTGTTCGCTGTACATTGCTGTAAGGTGAGAGCCTGGGTTTGAGTGTTTCGGGGAGGCGTACATTTTAGATCTAGCTGTTTTCCTTACTTGCCTGCTTTGTTTCCCTGCCCTCTATCTACCCGGTGCCCCTCCCACGCCCATCCCGTCTCTGGCTGCGTCTTCAGGCCTCACACAGGGCTCAGCTCAGCTGAGTGAACTTGGTTAACTAGTCTGTGTTCAGCTCTGCTTTGTGGGAAGCAGTCTCTGTCCTGCGAGAGGGAGGAGAGCAGCAGTGGGGCAAGGCCAGGGTCTGGAACTGGCAGGGGGCGGCCCATTCCGTGTGAGGCTTGTAATCCCACAGGAGACACTGGTATTCCCCCTTAAAGAAAGGCGCCAAGTGGAAGGCACAGCCTGAAGTCACTTGAAATACTGTACGAGCTGATTTTCTCAGTGAACTCTGAAGGGGAAGCAAAATAAACTTACCCTGTGCTCAGCTGTGGGTTAAGATAACGAATAATGAAATAAAGTAAATGGGGTGGACGGGAGGTATCACCCAGAGAAGCGACGTGAAATGCTCTGGATTTCCCTGGTCTGCTGCTGTGGGTGCCATTCCCACCCTCCCCCACGCCCCGACGCTCCTGCCTCGCTGCTGTCCCACAGACTTCCATCTTCCCGAAGGTATTCCACCCCTTTGCCCGTCTTCTGGCTTCTTTGACATTTGTTTCCATCTTACTCCATCACGTTCTGGTGCTTCCCCTGGGTATCACTGAATTCCTTTATACCGTGTTTTGCTTTCTTCATTTTAAATGACAAAAGTCATCTGTTTTGCTTCTGCTTTCGGTGCGTTCTCCTTACATTCTGATATTATTCTTTTTCCATTATTTTGAGTTCCTTTTACTTAGTTTGAGCAGTTTGTGTAGCAGGAAGGCAAGGGAGCATGAACAACCGCACCGAGAACAATTGGGCCGAGTGAATGGCTCAGCCTGGGCTGTGAGGGCCGCTGAGACAGTGGGCACTGCCGCCGGGAGTTAAACTCCGTGGATGGATTTTACCAAATGGCTGTCGGTTTCCGAAGAAGAACCCATGTGTCTTTTTCTGATTATCTCTGACTCAGCATTTTTAACTGAGTCAAAGATAATACAAATTACCCATCACATTAAAAGATTAAGGAATAGTATAATGTTCTTTTAATAAATATACGTATTCATGTAAAATAGCCAAGTTTTGAATAATTTTTTGGTAAGTATTCTAAAGATTAGGGATAACTCGAATAATATTTTGTGAAATATTTGAGGAAAATATACAAATGCCATATATTTCCTTCCCTTAAAAGAAGAAAATTTCAGTGTTCAGCTTTAAAAGAAACAACCCTTTCTACTTTATGCATCTTTGATAATATATGGGGAATAAACTTTAAAATACTGATTTCTGGTTATCAGTAAGAATTTATGGTGATGCCAGAATCCATCATAGATATACTCTTAAAACATTGACAGTTGAACAATATTGAGGTTGTTCGTTATTGTTAGCAGGCGTCGTGTGTGTGTGTGTGTGTGTGTGTGTGTGTGTGTGTGTGTGTTTGGAAGCGAGTGATCTTGGGAGGGTGAGGAGTCAGGCCTCTGTGCGATTGGCCGTAAAGATTGCTGGGTGCGAGCGGCTTCAGGGAGAGCACCTGTGAGGTCACCTTAATTCTTCTCTCCTGCCAGCAGCTCTTGAGCAGAAAATTGCTTAAAACTTGGTGACATTTTCCTTGATGTATCAAGTGAAACATAAACATCTAGAAAGAGGGTTGTGCAAGAGTGGACTTTATAGTATTTAGTGGCCATTTTAGTTGGAGCCCAAAGATAAATTCTATTTTCTGAGTCTTTGAAGAAAAAAAAAAAATGCCAGACTGGTTTCTTTGTGGTAATATCCTTCCTAAATTCTGGAGCTTTGTCACTCAGCTTTCATTTCATTTGTTCTTTTCACACACTTGATTCTGAACTGCAATCAGTGATCATCTTCATATGAGTAATAATAATTCATAGAAGGTTTTTAAAATTATATTTAAAACCTAACTTGGTTTATGCTATTTTACCACAGTTATTGCTTCTAGAAACTTTACAGGCGTCTTCAAACTACGGCCTGCGGGCCACATGCGGCCCGCAGAGGAGTCTGATCCGGCCCGCCAGGTTTTTTGGGCAGTGAGCGCAGCCGAGGTGTTACAGTAGGAATTAGTAGTTCATATAGTCCGGCCCTCCAGCTCTCTGAGGGACCGGGATCTGGCCCCCACTTTAAAAAGTTTGAGGCCCCCTTATAATAAGAGAATGCTTTTATTATAATTTTAATATTCAAATACTCTATAAAGGTAGGTGCAAATATTTTAACCACGTGCTTTACTCCTGTTTGCCTTTTGTGGCAAAGGTGTGTTTTATGTTTGGTTTGTGATTTCTGGAAAACGATATTTAAGACTAATACAAGTTACCAGGCTTTTTCTTGGATCCATAATAGCAGACGGCAGCCATGACAGGCTTGACTCCTGAGTGGACAGGCTACAGAGCGGCACGGGTGGCTTTGGGGAGCGGAACGGAGGGTCCCTCCGCTTCGGCCAGCAGGAGGGCGGGCACGGGCAGCCGGCCCCCCTTCCCACTCAGGCGCCTTTCCCAGGAGTCGGTGCCCTGCCCTGTGAGGATTCATAGCGAGCCTCCGTGTGTGTGGCTGTAATCTCACAATAGCGTCATTGATACTTGATCTCCACACAAGAGCTTTATGGATTCCACCAAGTCCCAGCTCTCCAGGCACCAGCCGCCCTCCCCGGACCCTCCCTGCCTGAGAGTGGCTTTGTGTCCTGTGTTGTACTGATTGTGCCTTCGGATGACAGCTCACTTGAGTGATGGGGGAGGCAGAGTAATTTATTAAAAGTCATTGCAGAGAAACCAAACAAAAGGAGCGATTATAGTGTTGTTAATATGCAGTTTGTTATTTT